ATTTTTGGTAACTTTTTGATAACTTCATTGACTTGAAGTAAAAGACAAATTCAGGAAGGGGTTAAGAGATAAAAAAGAAAACCAGTAATTTATAAAGCAAATGAAAAAGAAAAAGGAGTATCCCAGGCAGGGAAATAGATGAGCTTCTAAAGACTTTATATAAAGTAGACAATTCCAAGGATCCTATGGAATATTTTTTCCTGCTGGATGACAAAACTAGAAAATCACTGCAGAGCATCAAAGCTCAGGACATTTGAGATTATACGACAGTGAATGTCAATAAGGGGTAAAAATACAGCATAAAGCAGAACAATGCTATGGAGTAAAAGGACAGCAGAAGAAAAAAAAAAAAGCAGAAGACAATGCAATCAGTCTTCTGTTCAAATGTAGGGCAGGGGTGGAGGCAGAGACATTTCTATTAAGGAAGCACCTACTAAAAATACCTGGTGACAGAACTGGCAAGAAAACACCCAAGTTTAAAATGGATAAAAAAGGAAAATCTAATAACCAGGAAGAAAAAGTTCTGAGCTCCCATTCTGGAACCTTTAGCAAACCGTGAGGTAACATTTAAACAAGACAACTGAAGCAGTATGCTATTTTTAGTGATTCTGACTATCACCTACAAATGGAAATGATTTCTAAAGGAACAAAACTTTGGAAAAGGTTCAAAACAAGAGAAGGAAATGGCCCAAGATCAAGATTCTAATTCCAATTTCCTGACACAGTTGACAATTTTAGTAGGGATGATCGCATCAAGGTCATGTTCAACTTTATATTCCTCTTTTACATTCTATGGACTCCTTTCCTGAAAAAAAAAAATTATTATATAATATTTAAAATATTCTCCAGGGCCTCTCCTGGTGGCGCAGGCAGTTGAGCTTCACTCTGTGAAGCTGTCCGCAGCTTCTGCAGCGCGGGTTCAATCCCGGCCAGCCAGTGAGGATCCCACATGGCACAGCAGACCTCTCCTGTCGCGCCCCTCAGCAGTGTATTTCTGTCATTTGCCTGTTCTGCTCCCTGCTCTTCCTCTGCTGAATCCTCTCACCCTTCCGCGCATCAGGACTGACTGTACCCTGGTTCTTGTGTAAATGAATAAATAAATCTTTTAAAAATAAATAAATAAATAAATAAAATAAAACATTCTCCAGAGATAACTACCTGGATATATTTCTGTGAATTACTACCCAAAGCAGGCTCAGTGGTCTATAGTTCCTAACTCCCATGAGGTACAGATATATTAAAAATTGAATGACTGTATTTTCTTGGAGATGAAATGCCACAAAACCGCAAACTTATCTCTCAGTGAAGAGGCTTATCTTAGCTACCAATTCTTGAGAAATGGTAGTGTAATGTAAAAAGATATAAAGCAATTATTATAGATGCTTCATTTGTTTTTTCTTCCTCCTTCCTCAACCGTAGTTATAAATTAATAGGCTATTTGATATTGAAGTACCCAAAACGTCTGGTTGGTCGTCAACAATAGGCCTTGTGATCAGTGTATTCATAAACTGACAGCTCTTTCTCAGTCTTTTTAAAATCCCCTCCCCACACAGATGAGTTTCATGCGTACTTAGCAGACCCTGTGTGAATACTGCCTTTACTACTAGGCTACAAAGATTTGCACATTTCTATGTACTGCCTATCTAATGCCGCTAAGATTAGCTTTGAATGCAATAAAGGTTGCTTTTTCTGGGCAAGGAATAATTCAGTCATTGAAAATCATCAGGTGTCCAGATCTCATTCAGAAAACAAAAACAAACACACACACAAAAAAAAAGCAACAAAAACCAAAGCTGTTACTAAATTCTGTTAGCAATTTGCCCTGAGCCCAACATCGTGACTAACCTGCCTTAGTCAAGCATTATTCCCAAAGGGCAAGATTACCCTCTTTCAAACAAGAGTATGCCCAATTATTTCCAAATGGCAGAATACAAAACAGTATTATTTAGATACAAAAACTAAGAATTTCTGATTTTCAGACTGAGTCCAGGCGTTAATGGCATTGCTCTGTTGCCTGCCCTTGCTCAGCCTGGGTTACTAATCAATCCAGGGTAATCCTCAGCACAGCCCATGGTGGGTGAAAATGACTTTGTGGATAGAAGGAAGGAACCCAGTGCCTGCAGAGGGAATATGGACAAGCGGGAAGACGCTGATTCACCCTTCATAACCACACTCAAGGGGAAACAATTGTTAACATTTTTTTTTTTTAACTAAGCCAAAATCAGGCGTGATGGCAGAAAGTGTTTTTCAGGCAAAATACTGATGGATTGCATTCTTTCTCATGAAGTTTCAGATATATGTCATCAAATAAAAAAAGCAGAAAAGCAAAAAACCCAGGATCTGGGAAAGAAGGTAAGTTGCAGGGTGAAAGTCATGCAGATCTCAATGGCAAGCAGTCCACATGGAGGAAGGCAGAGGTCTGCAGGGGCATTTCCAAGAGAAAGAAAACTCATCTCTTACAAAAACAGACTTGTCTTGGAGAAAAATTATATTGGGAGGCCTTTTTCAAGGATGTCAGAAAGTAGTAAGTTCAAAAGTGTAGACACAGATTGTTCAAACTAATAAAAATTCAAAGAAAACAAAAAGATTTGCAAAAAAGGAAATGCGATCATTGCAAATAACTTGGAAGAGCAGTGAATATTTCCATAGTCATCACTGGGGAAAACATAGAACTGTGATTTAAATTACCTATTGGGAAGATGAGGCCAAAGAAACAAAATGATCATTTACCATAGCAGGAAATTGTGTCTAAGAGAGATGAAAGGATGTTGTATGCACGTGATTTTTAGGTAAACGGTAAATGCCCAGGTAAACTACTAAGCATACAAAGTTGTTTCTGAGTGGTGATTGAGAGAGATGTCCAGGAGACTGATGCTTTTCCTAAATTTTAGCACTATTTGACTTTTTTTAAAACTATGTACACAATTGCTACAAAATGGAAAATTTTTAAATGCCAGCAATTTGAAAATCTTTCTTACATTAAAAAAAAACTCCTCTCTTCTAGTGACTTCATCTGAATTCACAGAAAAATAACATGAATATTAAAAAGATGCATTTTTAAAGGGTAGGTGAAAGAAATCTGGATAGCTTTAACTACTGTTTAAATTATCTTAAGATTAAATTTGCTAAGTTAGCAAATTAAACACTGATAGCAAAAAACTCATTTCCTATTCATGGCTTCAGTAACCTGCATTTCCTATTTCTGACTTGACTTCCTAATTAAAGGAAAAAAAGCTCTAATAAAATATTGATGAAATGTCATTCTCTTCTGCAAAAGTCCGTAAGTATCACTCAAGAGGAATCAAAAAACAGTTAGTGAATATCAAGGCAACTATTAATCATTTGATCCTAAGAATGAATCCCAGTTACCTTTTTCAAAAGTGCCTGATGGTGACTGGAGCAAACGCGTTTGTCTCTTCAGCCAAATGAGTCATGGTGGGGGAGGCCAACTCCTCAAAGTGTGTCCTCATAAAGAAGTGCAAACCGGTGTGCAGCTCTCTGCTCAGGTGTTTCTCATGCACAGATCACAGGGGCCTGCCTTCATCAAATGATGCTTGTGCATTCATCTGATGACCTGAATGACTCTCCTAGAATGTAAGGCTCACCAGGGCTGTGGCCATTTTCTTTTCACTTCAGTTGTGCCAAGTGAGCAACAAAGCCTGAGAGCCAGTAGTTTCTCAATATTCAGTGAATCAATGTATAAATGAGTGAACAAATCAGTATCAGAATTGTTTGACTTCCTCTTGAAACATAAAACCAGATCTACATTTTTTAAAAGGATAAAATGCATATGTATAATTGCTAGTAAATCTTTGCAAAGCACTTTAAGAGGACACTCAGTGGAAAAGTCAATTACCTGCTCTTATGCTTCTGTCACCTATCTGCAAAAGAAAGGTCAATAGAAAAATCTTCACAAACTTCATTTACTTTTCAGAATGCATTAATTCCCTTATAAGTTAAACATTGTACTTGTTAATTATTACTTCCACAGTCCAGAAAAAGATTCGACTTTACCAGCAGGTGTCAGAACTTTAGCACTCATCAAAAAAAGGAAATATGACTACAATGAGAATGGTGATTTAAAAACGTATTTATTACCATATTCTATAACAAATTCCATACACCTTAGCTGTAGAAATGTGTCTTGGGGAATCAGAATACAACACACAACTATATAGTTACATCTAGACAGACAGACAGACACACACACACACACACACACACACACATTTTGCATTGCAATGTGTACCTGAATCAGAAATAGTATTTCTAAAGGGTATGTATGACATCACACATGAATTTCCAACAATAAAATTGTGCCCAAACAGTGACTTGTAACTGCTTGAAATGGATTGAGGAAATTTTTAAGACCTTTCTTTATGGTCTCAAAAATAGATGTGGTGGTTAGTGTCAGCTGAGGCAGAAGTGGGGCTGCAGCACAGATAGGACAGATGCCACCTTCCTTCAAGATGCCCAAACAGGTTCATTGAAGTAGAAGTCAGGCCAGAGGCTCCAATAACAGCAAACGCTTACACTTAAAGCCAAGTATCCTAGGAGGCCTGTGGCAGAAGGAAAAAAAGACATCATTTAATCTGAACCCTCCCAATAATGAGCTATACGTGTGATCTAGTTTTCTGGGCCTGTTTCCTCATCTTAGCACAAGAGATTCTCAAAGGCAAGGTGAAGTAGCCGAGTGCTGCTACCAAAAAGCTGGAATCCTTTTTTCTTTTCTTTTTTCTGATTAGCTTCTAACCATAGGTGCTGGAGTGTTTTGAACCTTACATGTAAAGTCTCATCAACTCGTGAAAATCATAACAATCAATTAAAGCTCATTTTCTAATTTTTATATTTTAAGTATAACTATAGTTCTTAATTTAAATGTGTAGGGAATACACTGCATTTTGTACAGATGATGTCAAGTGATGATGAAGCCGCACTCTCAAGAATTTCCCCTTCCCTTTGAGCCAAAATATATTATAAAGATGTTAAATGGTTTTATAAAAGAAATAATCCAAATATTCAGTAGCAGGAGTTTAGCTAAATAAATTATCATAAATGAAGAAATGACTGACGCTCTTGATTTTAACTTCCTCCTAACATGCTCACATTGTATTCGGAAATTATTATTTAAGCACAATAAAGTAGCCAATATCCTTTAGAAATAGTTCTATCCAAAATTAAAGCGCACTGTTGTTCAAAAGGAGAAGCTTTTGCTAGCTGATTCTTTCACAGATCTTTCTCAGTCTGATTCTTCACTAGCACAGAACAAACCACTTCCAAAGAAGACACAGAGAGATGGAAACACAAATAACTTTAATCATTTATAGTAAACAAAAAGAACGCTTGCATCTATGATTGAAAAATGAAAACAATTACAAGCATATCTATATTGAAAAGTACAAGTTTCAAGAGCTTCACATCAATCCACTGTAAATCATTTAGGAAACCAAAAATAAAACTGCCTAAGAGTGGAGGGACAAAATATGACAGAGCAGGAAGGGGACAAACAGTAAATAAATGAAGTAAAAGTGAGCAGCAATGCCCAGAGGTGATTTACAAAGAGAAATTCAAATCGGAAGTACAGACGCATACCTGTCTAGGAATGTGACCAATGAGGCAATAGAAAGTGACTGAAAGTCAGTTATAAATCAAAAATGACAACCCAAATCCCAGACCATCTTAAATTATTTAATCCAGACATTATCTAACCCCTCCGATCTGTTTGGTGCTATGGTGTTCATCATTCTCCATTAGAGAGAAACGTGGGACAAACACATTACCAGTTAAAGAGAGTGTTTCAGAGTTAACTCACCCTTGAAGGTCAGGGTCAGCAGTATATTATTTTGCTCACATAATGCATTTCTTGATATGAAAAAGTAACATGTCAAAGGAGGAAATAAGTTAAAATGTATTCTGAAATAATCAGCAGAATATCAAACTTTCAAAAAAGTGGATCTTTAAAACTCTCAGTTCAAATGCAGTCGTTATTTATCAAACTGTTCTCAAACTGGCAGTTCTCACAGTATCTCCCTTCTCGTGTCTTTATTATCATAAGACCACTCCATTTCTAGGAAGACTTTTTAAAGAATTCTGCTTCTTAAAAACTTTTTAAACGATTCACAAATGGGAACACTGAGACGGCAGCAACCTCCCAGGTTTCCCCGCTCTCGGTGTCCTGGCCGCTACCCTGCAGCCGGCACTGTCTTGGCACTGTTACGTCCTTCCACTCCTATCTCTAGACTTGTTGTTCTGGCCTTTTGTACCTTATGGACAAAATCTGTTCAAAATCAAATAATCCCCAACTTCTGCCTCCTCGGGAATGTACGTATTTTCAAAATACAGTGAAGGAAGAAATTTAGACCTTCAAAAAAAATTACTTTAATGTCGAGCAATGTCTACCAGAAAAAAACTGCTTCCTAATTTAATGTATTAACATTTGATTGACAATTTGCTGACTAGTCCAGTGAAACCTAAGAAATATTGATACTAAAATGTTAGAGAAAATGCTCAACGTATCTATACATATAGTAAATAAAGTTATAAACGGATAGTTAACACTACGTGTACACAATAAAAATATGTGCCATGAGCCCAAGGTTGATTTTCACCAAAGAACAACACTGTTAAGGTTCAAATCATGATTGCCTGATGAATATACAAGCTAAAAATAAGGGATAAAAATGTGGAAGAGGATTCCAAGTAAATTATAAAAACTAAACACAATGAAAGAGGGAGAAAACTGTAAACAGGAGAATTTAACCCTGTGGGGAACATTTAGATCTGTACTCTATTTTTATTACAATAAAGTCAGGATAAATTATTTGACAATATTCTTCGTTTACTAAACAATGACAGGTACACTTGCTGGTGGCAGGTATGGATTTTTTTTCATCAAAGAGCATTAAACAGCTGAGACAATAATGATACCCCTTCCATATTTAACCAACAGTTTCATGCTCTCTCATTAATCTTTGATAGCTGACAATTTGAATAGAAAGACATGATGAATCAAAACATACACCAGTTTTAAAAAGAAAATTCCTTCAAAGCAATCTCAGTAAACAGAATGAATTCCTAGTCTGACACGACTTACTTTTCAAGGATAAAAAGTAATAGGAACTAGTCTACCTATTTGTAAAAATGTGAATGATCAAAACTGTGCAAATGCTGGTTCTCAGTCAAGTTCAATCTCAACAGTTCATCGGGTGCGGTATATTCAGCTGTCAAGAGGGAGCAACTCAAAGGACATCACACAATCTATAAACCAGCTGGAAGGAGCCATCCAGACTTTGCCCTGCCGGACCCTCTCCGGGCGATGACCGGACACGTCTTCGTAGATGATGTACTGAGTGCAGAAGCGCTGGTCAGAAGCGGGCCTGGCGTGGTAAGCCACTGTGTTGATGGTCTGGGTCACATCGCTGTCGGGCTTGGGCTTTCGGCTGAGGACCCGGCCCCCTGCAGCGTGGACAAGCTTAACAAGGTTGTCCTTTGGATGGTGCTTGTAGGTTCCCCCGAAGTAGAAGTAGCATCCATCAAATAGCTTTGGCAACTGAAATCACACCCCAAAAAAGCTTGTTGAAAGCAAATCAAAATATTTTAAAACACTGCATTTGAATGAGGGAAATAAAAACAATAGTTATGAGCAGCGAGAAGCTACTTAATGAGGTGGTGGGACAAGCTGTATTTCAACAGAACTACTTGGGTCAAGAAAAATACTAATGCAAATAAAGGTTTTGTATTTACAGTTTTTCCTGCTAAAATTCAGTCACCATGTCATGTATTTTTCACTCTTCTCACATTTTCAGTATGCTTTGTATGTAACTTCTTAAACGCAAATAAAAAAAAACTGTTCATCAAGCTTCTTTTATCAGAATATTTAATCTTATTTGGTGAGACTTAAACTAAAGCATTCCTAGAGAATCTGAATCGTGCTCTGGGATACTAAGCAAAGTGGGGGGCGACCTCCAGGGTTCCTTCCAGACACATATTCCTGGGGGTACAATACTTTCTGAAACCACAGCTGGGGATCCAATTAGCTATGAAACACACTTCTGTGAGCTTTATAGGGGGGGAAAGCTTAACAATTCCCTTCCATAAAAACTGTTTTTCTTCATCATTCTAATATACTTAGATATCAGTAGGATAATGGAATATTATCCATTAAAACTGCAATATATGGCAATAAAAACATATGGCAACGAAATCCAAACAGCAGCTGTATGGTTTCTTTCAAGCCACTTCCTGTATCTGAGATTTACCTCAGATTATGAAAGGTTTATGGGAACGTTCAAAATGCCTAAAATCCATTAACAGTAAGAAATTATTACCGTCTAGATTTTACTGCTCATCATGATCATCTCTCAGAATCAAATGCTTGAAATAAGCACAATTAAAAACTTAATCAGTCACCTGTACTTGCTTAAAGGGCAGGAGAAATTTTTCCTGATGGAACTAGTAATGTTAAATTATAAGCACAATGGGGCCTCCCTTGGTGGCTCAAGGGGTTAAGACACAATCTATGAGGCTATCCACAGCCACTGCAGTACAAATTCAGTCTCCGGCCAGGGAGCTACCCACATGGCGCAGCAGACCTCTCTTGACTCGCCCGCTGCTCCCCTCAGCAGTGTACTTCAGTCTTTCCGCTTGTTCTGTTCCCCATTCTGCCTCTGGTGAATCCTCTCACCCACCCCCACCCCATACCTTTGGCCTGTACCCCAGTTCTTGTATGTGTAAATAAATAAATTTAAAAAAAAAAATGTTATAAGCACAATGAAAGTAGTAGCAAAAGAAAAATACCAGCTGTTCTCTATTGAGCCTGCTTCTCTTTGGGCCTTCAGAAATTTCGTACTTTTCTTCCTGTTCACATTCTTTCCTTTGTAGACATGCTTTCACCCCTGACAAAAACAAGCATAAAAACAAAATAAGTATAAAATGAGTACTACTTCTTTCTCATTGGATTTAACAATTTACCTAAATGATTTCACTTCTTCATGGTTTTTTTAAGTACTATTCTGAAATAGAAACTTTTCTTATGCCAAAACAAAATGTAATAAAATTGGTTTTCCATATAAAGAAAATACAAGAATTCTTTCCTTCAAAGAATTGAGCAATGTTGTACCAAACAATTAACACATTGTAATTCCTGGAAAAACCCAAGTCAATACACTATTTCACATATAAAAATAAAAATCTAAGTTTTTTCTTCAGCAATTACTGAAATTAAGGTGAATAAAAAGTCCCTCCTTTAGAGAAGTTGGTTAACTTTTGTTGAAATATGTGTTATATTTTACATGTGTATTAGGAGGGGATATTACCCACAGGGAAATTGGATAACTTTTGTAGAACTGTTATTTTAGTTTTATATGTGTATTGGGCGCTGATGCTATCAATTAAGCTTTGCTTAAGTGAAGACCATGTTTTGCGCAAAGAACCCAAATCCCTTCCTCCCAGGATTATTCAGTTAACTTTCTCACTTTCTTCTCTTCTTGTTCTTATGTCAGCTATTTAATTGGGATGTTAAGGTCCCTCACAGCTCTGAGTGGCCATTTTAAACCAGATTTCTCCCTAGACTTAGAAGCTAGCAGCATTTGGATCAGATGAGGCTGATCCAACTATATAGGCTGAAAACTCGAGAGATTTTTCAAACTGCCATGTTAGGTCCAGTGTTCTCTTTTTGTTAAAAATAAACATTGTCAGCTACAAAATAAAAAAAGTCCCTCCTTTAATTCCTCCCACTATGGTTTGACCTTGAGCTCATCATCCACAATATTCACCTGGGTGGTTATGTGTCTCACCCCCTGCTGGACTGGAAAGATCTGACACCTGTGTTAGTCCACAGCACCTGGCTCAGCTGGTTGCACAACGGGGGCTCCACAGTAGTATTTGTTGAAATAAATGATAAGCAGAGCCAGGGACATATTTGGGATCTGACAGGTACATAGTCTATAGATGATAGATGGGCAGGGCTTTGCAGTAAACAGAGCCTTCTGCTACCTTGAAAGTTTGTTCACACTTCCCAGGTTAAAACGCTCAAGGCACTGGTACTGGTGAGGGTCACTCTACTCACTGGCTCCTGGGTGGCAAAAGCCTGAAACAGAGATAATGTACCCTCAGGAGTGCCCAAGACCAGTCATATGGCAGGACACTGGCAACTTGTTCTACATGTTGGTATATTGCCTGTCACTTAGAGAGGGAGCTCATGATACATACCTGTATACTTTATATCAATCATGCTCTAATTTTAATAATGCTATATATCATCAATATATCATGCTTTTGTTTTTGATGGTAAGTAAACTATGTTTAGAATTTGGAGTCAAACGACTTAACTTGTGCTGGGATAATTATTTAAGCTCATCTGTTTCTTTGCCTATGTATGGACAAAAAGAAAACGAAAAATAGTACCCATTTCACAGGATTACTGTGGATAAAATGTAAAAAGCATTCTGGAAACTGAGTACGATAATAAATATCTTCAATATAAAACAAATCATTCACACAATTTGCTGTCTTTGAAGATTATTTTGCTCAATAACCTCAGTTTGATCACTGGAGAAACTCCATGGTGATAGGAAATCATCCATTTTCATTTGTGCATTCTCCAGCTTTTTAATATACTTTCCCATAGAACAGAAACTTAATAGCAGAGGTTATTGGTAAAGTTGGGACAGTAATTCAGGTCTTCTCACTTGCTGTCTAGTATTGTTACTATAAAGAAAAATATTCTCATAATATTCACTATATACATAACCAGTGAAGAATTCTATGCACACCAATTAAAATTATTACAGTACTAGTTACAGTTCACACTCTGAACTGTTTTAATTTGGAATATCAAAATGTTACAAGTAACACTTGAAATCCAATAGAAAATATTTATAGCTGTCTAAACCTAGGCTTTTGATTGAAAATCAGACACATTTGCTAAAAATACACTGATTAACCATATTTTGACAAACTCTGAAAAAAATGCAATGATAAATTCTATCCAGCTGATACCTACCTTTTTTTTTTTTTTAAGTTTTTTTTAATTTATACAATAGCTGGGGTACAGGCCAGAGGCACTGGAGGGTGAGAAGATTCACCCTCTGGTGAATCCACATACATCACACCCAGTCCCTCACACCTCTGGCCCACACCCCAGTTCCTGTATGCATAAATAAAAAAGATAAATCTTAAAAAAAAAAAAAAAAGTAGAATTGTAACAGGGTGGTCCCCAGGAAAAGGGGAAGTTCCAGGTTCCCCGCCCCACCCAAGGAGGGTAGAGCTAAAGAGGAGAAGCAGCAGATGAGACTGAGAAAGGAAGGAAGCAGGATGGAGAGCCGGAAAGAGACCTGAAAGAGGCACATGGAGTAGACAGACACATGAAGAAATTGTGCTTGCCTTTTGGTCCTGGACTGGTTGAAAACACATGGGTGAGAGACCCGTGGGAAGGATAAAATGGCAGCTTTTAGCTTGATTTTGATTTTGCTCTTTTCCTTCCAAACTTATCCAGTTGTTTCTGAGCCTTTTCTGTGGGTCCCCACGGAAAGGTGCTTTAGACTTGTGGCAGGCTTTCAGGCCTTGCTCTGGGCCAATTGCGTCTGGGTGGACTTTTACCCACAAGAGGATGGGTAACTTTGGGTGCTTGATAAAGAAACTATATTCTTTGCCTTTCCTGTGTTGTTTACTAATTGTATTAAAGTTCCTTCCCATTAAAGTCTCATAGGTTTTGTCTTGATGTGGCGGATGGCAGAACCTATTTAGAGCAGGCAGGTTTGGGAGCTCTGGGGTGCCCCTCTCCCTGCCGTGTAACAGAATGACTGCACAGCATAAGGACCACTAGGAGATTCCGGACACTGCACAAGCCTACAAATTTCACCCTTTCTGAGCCTACAGGTGATATGACACAAAGAACATAACAGTTTCAGAACTGCCTTTGATACACAATTAGATTCATTTGTGGATGAGAAAGAAAAGGTCACTAGATCTATTAAAAATTATCTCAAGAGCAAAAACCATCAATGGAAAAAACAAATTCAAGATTTTCCAAGAGTTTCTCTGTAACAGTTTATTTCAGACTAACCCAGACTTTATGAAATACCACTTTTAACTTTCTTCTCTATTACCCCAAAGTGACATATTAGTAAAATGTCATCTCTATACATGAGTGAGTATGCAGAATTGGAAGGAAGACAGATCGAGATGGGACTGAAAGCAGTGGCACTTTTTGAGGGGAAAAAAATGTTTAAGACCTTCTTATTAGGTATATCTTACTCAAAATAATCCTATAATACCTAGTTTTTTTAAATATCGAGACTCAAAATTTAAGACAGATAAAACTTTGGCAATCTACTCTTATTTTACAGATTTATAAAATCAAGTGCAGAACATAAAATCACTTACTAAGATCATCAAAAACAACAAAGTTACATATTAACTATTTCCTAACACAGCAGTCCCACTCCAGTACCCTTTTCATATCATATCTGTGTAGCATCTAATATGTACAAAAGGAGTCACAGCCTCGGTCACTGAGCAGTCTATTCATTTTTTTTAATATTCCTGATATTTCCCGCCACATCCTATTTCAATTAGCTAGTCCTAAACTTTACTAAAATCTGTACTAGAATGCCTTATCTTTTCTTTAAGTACGCAATGATAAATGATATAAAAACCTATTGCTTTATTTTCCATCAATAATTTTGAAATTCAACTTTTAAGCAAAGGTGCCATTAAGACAATCCCAAGTCATAACACATGGCGGCAAAGAAAAATCCCTACTTTTGTCAAGAACTTGATGGGTCTTGAATATCTGTCACAAAGTCAACTAAGGAACAAAGGTCAAGTGCTACCGACAAACATGAAAAGATTCATGTTTTTCAGATTCCGCTTTTCCGTCAGTTCAAACGTAAAATGGCTAACCTTTTGTAGAATATAAAGTGCAGAAGCAGATATGACTGTCAGAAGATAATAAAAAAGAAAAATACTCCTTAATATTTATTTCAATATGTTAAAAGCAAAATCAGTTTCTTGAATAAAAATGTCTGAATGCAAAGTAGATTCTGAAAACAATGTAAAAACAATATTTTAAAAGCTAGCAATCAAATATTCTGGAAGTATTATAGATCTAGATTTACTAGTGAAGTTGGCTTCAAAAACACGAAAAATACTAGTGAAGTGGGAAATGGTGCACAACCAGTTTTTTTTTTTTTTTAATAATAAATTTTATTTTTATATTCCCCATACAATTGCAGCCCCCCCATTCTGACCCCAAACCCTCCCCTCCCACCCCCGCCCCCCTAAAAGTGTCTCTGGTTCGTAGTTTTTTGTTGATTTTGATTTTCACTTTCTTATAGTTATTCGTTTTCCTGGTCCCTTATTTAAGTTTTCTAGATTCCTGCTATGAGTGAGACCATCCGGTATTTTTCTTTTCTTTTTGGCTTATTTCGCTGAGCATGATCCCTTCCAGCGCCATCCATGTTGCTGCAAATTGCATGTGTTTATCTTTTTTGAATGCTGAGTAATATTCCATGGTATATATGTACCACATCTTCATGATCCAGTCATCTATTTTTGGGCATTTGGGCTGTTTCCAAAGCTTAGCTATTGTAAACAGTGCTGCTATAAACACAGGGGTGCAGGTGTTCTTTGGAATTGATGTTTCTGTGTCCTTTGGGTAAATACCTAGGAGTGGAATTGCCGGATCATATGGGAGCTCTATGTTTAGTAGGTGCAGAGATCTCCACACAGCTCTCCAGAGTGGTTGGACCAGTTTGCACTCCCACCAACAGTGCAGAAGAGTTCCTTTTTCTCCACACCCTCGCCAACATTTGTTGTTGCTAGTTTTTTTAATATGTGCCATTCTCACTGGTGTAAAATGGTATCTCATGGTAGTTTTGATTTGCATTTCCCT